GGAATTGTTAATGGAATTTTAGTGGGGCCTTTTGAATTACCAAATCGCTTAACTGGTGAAAATTATTTTGATTTCTTGCAACACAATTTGCCTGGTTTACTGGAAGATGTGCCTTTAAATATTAGACAAAACATGTGGTTTTTACAAGATGGGGCACCACCCCATTATGCAAGAAATGTGCGTGAATTTTTAAATAGACAATTTAATAATCGTTGGATCGGCCGTGGCGGTTTTGTACCTTGGCCGCCAAGGTCTCCGGACTTAAATCCTTTAGACTTTTGTTTGTGGGGTTGGCTAAAAACTCTAGTGTATAAAACACCGGTTAATACACGCGAAGAATTACGTGCTCGAATTGAGGAAATGAGTACAGTGATCAGAAATCAACCAGTGATTTTATTGCGTGCTTGTAAAGACACATGGCTAAGACGCGCCCAGCTGTGCGTCGAGCAAAACGGAAATCATTTCGAACAGTTTTTGTGACATGCTTTTGGGCGCACAGGTCTGCACTGAAATACTTGTCGGGAGGATACTTTATAAAACAAGGTAACATTTTTTTTTAATTTTTTTTTATTTTTACACACATATTTTGGTTTATCTTCCTTCTACAATCATTATCTGAAAATTAATGACTCAACTTCAAAGTCACCCTGTATATACGTGAAAGCCAAGTCCGAGTCAATTTACCTGATGACATTCCCTTTTCGCCCGCCCGAACGCCCAAAACGAACACCATATTTACCACTTATTCTTTAGAAAAATTCGGCAACAACGTCCTTTCTCCATGCTTTCAAGTGGCGGATTTTTCTCAAATTTTCAGTGACCCTACTAGAGTGATTAGTAACACAGCATCCTTATTAGATCCAGTCTTTACTAATAAACCAGACATTATTTTCGACTCTTAGGTTCTCGATTATAACAGCTTATCTGACCATAAAATGGTATCGTGCACCCTCTCCATTCCTGATTTGAAAAATAATCAAAGGTTTGTAACTGTAAGGAACTTCATATGCTTCAACGAGGAATATTTTCTTCTGCAAATTTGGACGACTTATTTGTTATGAACCATATAGATGCTAATGTTGAGTTCCTAACAAATACACTGATGAGAGTTTATGATAAACATGCTCCTGTAACTACTTTTAGAGTAAACAAACCACCTGTTCCATAGCTATCTCCCCGCCTATGTGACGTTCTTTCAGAAAGAGACATTCTCCATACTACATATAAAACTAATAAAACTGTAGAAAACCTAAATATTTACAAGCAAAAAAGAAATGACGCGCTTACTCTGGTGAGGAAAGAAAAAGAATGACGGAAAAAGGTATGGATTGGCTTAAAGCAGCTTAACATACATTCTCGGGCAAAACTCACTCTTTCAGATAATCTATCTGATCCAAATGAAATCAGTGACTATTATATGTCAGTTTACAGTACAAATAAGGCCTCTGAAGAATTATGCCACCTATACAAAAATCGTCACTTCTTTCCACCTGATTATTTTTTATTCAGAATCATTGTTCCTTCAGACATTCTACAAACAATTAATTCTCTTAAATCAGATGCCAAAGGAATAGATGGTCTTACGCTAACTATGGTTAAGGTAAGCCTACCTGTTATATTTTTCCACTTAGTTCACATTATCAATCTATGTCTTGAAACCGGTTACTTCCCTAAAATTTGGTAGGCAAGCACTGATAATACCTATAGCAAAAATTTTTCCTATCAGATCTCCGAGCGATCAGTTTACTACCCATTTTGTCAAAAATCCTTGAAAAGGTTGTTCAACTTCAACTTACATCATACATTGAAGTACATCATTTAATCCCACCTAATCAATCGGGATTTAGAAATATTACAATACAACATCGGCTTTATTAAACATATGCGACAACATATTTCGTGTTCTTGACAAAAACATGTGTTTAGCTTTACCTAATATCAGTCGACCACACTAAAGCCTTCGATAAGATAGATCATAAACTGTGCTAAGCTACGTTCTGTTGGTTGTGATGAGGTTGTAATCAATTTTTTGAAAGCTATCTTGAAAATAGGACTCAAATGTATTTCAGTGAAGGGTAATCGTTCGCTGATGACACCCAGCTCTCCCATTGTTTCAGTATAGAAGATATACAGAGCACTGTCCAAGTATTACAAGCAGATATTGCTACTCTACGCAAATATTCAGCAGATCACAGCCTCGGCATAAACCCGGAAAAATCTAAGATGTTATTGTTTTGTTCAGAGAGCAGAAGAAACGACGTTGTTTCGCTATTAAATGTGAACATAGACAATAAGCAGCTCGAGCTCACCAATAGCGCAAAAATATTGGGTGTAGAAGTTGATACAAAACTAAGATTTACCGAGCATGTAAAAAATCAGACACAAAAAACCTATGCACGTTTACGCAGTCTTTATTCAAACAGATATCTGTTAAACTTCAAAATGTGCCTGTCTTCAACTACTGCAGTATTCTATATTTTTCCTGTTTGGATCAGATCACTAAACACAGAATCCAATTAATTCAAAACAGCTGTGTTCGCTTTATATTCGGCATGAGAAAGTTCGACCATGTCTCTCACAAATATGCAGAGTTGAAATGCCTAAAGTTTGACCAGTTGGTCAAGTTACATTTTTCCACATTTATCCATGAAATTTTAATTAATTTTAAGCCAGAATACCTATGTGAAAAAATAATTTCACGATAGAACTATTAGAGACAAGCACGTTATCAGAATTCCGAAGCAAAGAACATCTCTGTTCCAACGAAGTTTCTGATATAACGTTTCAGCAATATATAATTCTTTGGACAGTAAATTTAAGACCATGAGATTACCACGTTTACGCCACAATGTTGAGTTATTTGAACGATTAACTTTTTCCTCAATATTTCATAGATCTTTTTAGAGTAGCAGTATGTGCACACAAAATATCTCATTTTTCACTTCTCTTATGTGTTGTAAGTGATTTGTTATATATATTTTGCGTTTTGTTTGTGTTAACTGTTAACAACGTAATATTTAACTTTAGTGGTTAAGTGTTAGAGTAGCATATTGATAAACTTCGCCACTATAGTTACACTTTATATATTGTTAGAAACAGGGATAGTCAAACACTAATTTATTTATTTATTTATTTAGCTACATCCAGCAGCCATAGCCATTTACAGGATGGATAAACATGAAAATATAAACAAATGCATGTAGTGGATGTATGTAGAGAAAGCTAAAACGCTGCAAAAAAACCTCAAAATAGAACTGCGAGGAAAAAAAAGCGTTGTAGCTTTACCTATCCGGCACTCAACAATCACACCGGCAAGCATTCACGAAAATAAGCATTAATGTCTCCCAAAGTCGCAGAAAACAAAAATATTTCTTACGGCACATTATATAGATTGGGGAAAACTTAAGTATCTCAGTCCTAGGCCTGGCTAAGTAAAAAGTTAAACTAGTTCGAGACGCTAATCTAGGAACTAAGAAGTTAAGTTGTTCTAAGATGACGATGGAGTCAATAATGCCATGGATGAGCTTGTGAGTGAACTTAAGTGAATTCTTTTTGCGTCTGCTCTCTAAATTATAGATTTTGTGTCTCATTATCAACTCACTATGAGGAAAGCCAATAGCAGGATATATCCCGTCAGCTTTGTATGAGACGTATTTTAAAAACTTTCTCAGAACGGACTCTAAGCTGTCAGTATATATTTGATGATGAGGATACCATACCAGGGACGCATACTCAAGCTTAGATCTTACATAAGCATAGTACAGTATTTTCAGTGTAAAGGGGTTGTGGAAATCACCAGTATTTCTTACAATAAAACCATATGCCTTTGATGCAGCCACAACAGCATTTTCGATGTGATAGGAGAAGAAAAGTTTTCTGTCAAATGCGACTCCCAAGTCATTAATTGTATTAGGTCTGTCAAGTTTTCTGTCACCAATACTATATGCATACATCATTACCTCTGTTTTTAAAGTAAACGACAAAACGTGACACTTAGCAGCATTCAAAACCAGTCTGTTTTCACGACACCAGTTGTCAACCCTTACAATGTTGCATTGCAAGCGATGACAGTCGTCAATGTTAGAGACTCTACAGAAAAGTTTCATATCGTCAGACATTCAACATCTCTATTTAAAAGGTCGTACGTATATACTGCTATCAAGCTATACAACGCATTGCCTACCGAGTTCACTCACTACTCGATAAAGAATTTCAAAAAAAGATTGAAGAATTTTATCTCTGATTCCATTGCCCAGTGAGTAGACCATGGCCATGAATAAGGACTCGTTACAGGTTTTTTTTAACTCTTGTTTTCATTGGGATTAGAAAATATACATCAATATTTGTTGGGTTAAGTTGAAAAACGCTTTTTAGCGACACTTCGCCTTTTTATACTTTGTATAAATAAAGCCGGTTTATTATTATTATTATTATTATATATAAGAAAATCGACATCGATAACTTCAGAAATATAATTTAAGAACATAATAAATAACAGAGGTCCCAAATTAGATCCTTGAGGAACACCGGAAATTACAGGGTATTCGCTTGACTTAGGTCCATTGCACATAACATACTGTTTCCTATGAAATAACTAAGATATGAAAAATAGCAACAATGCATCTGAAAGACCAAATCTGGATAACTTATTGAGTAGGATGTTATGATCTAAACTATCAAACGCTTTAGAGAAATCAGTATATATTACATCCGTTTGGTTGTCTATCGATTGATTCACAAACATATTGAGTAAGATGTAGAAAATTAGTAACTGTGGACCTGCCCTTCATGAAACCGTGTTGACTGATGGAGATAGACCTGCTTATATGGAAATATAGCACAGTTTGTATCACTATTTCGAATGTTTTAGCGAAATTACTGATAATTGTGATAGCCCGATAGTTTTCTACTTTATTCCTCTCACCTTTTTTAAAAACAGGAGTTACCCTAGACAACTTCCAAATAGATGGAAAGTGATTATTTTTCAGAGAGAGATTGAAAATGATCATGAGTGGATATGCTAAAATGGACGCACAATCTCTCACAAAAAATGCAGGTATTTGATCAGGCCCTGCAGTCACTTTTGGCTTAATTTTCTTGAGCGCCTGTAGCACATCGATTTCCTGCACGCTAGGCATAGCTAGTGTAGTAGTGAAATGGTAGTCAGTAGAAGAATCAGATTGAGCTGTTGGAGTATTATAGCTCCCACTAAAGTGTTCCGCAAATGCGCCAACTACATTGTGTGTATTCAATTGAACAGCATATCCTTCGGAATACCAGTGCTGTTTCTTTTTCTATTAACAAAACACCAGAATTGGCCGGAGCTGTTGGATATTTCACTCTTTAAAGAGTGAATGTAGCGACGATATGAAACAGCTACATGCTGCTTTATCTCTGAGCGAAGTCTTACAAATTTTTCTATATAATAAGTATCACCAGGGCGTCTGAAAGTCTTGAATGCCACCATTTTTTCTTTGAGGGTTCTAATGATATGGCTGTTGTACCAAGGAGGATACCTATTATTATAAGATATTCTAACTTTAGGAACACAACAATCAAGAATTCTATAGATCTCAAAATAGAAATATTCACAAGCTAAATCCACGTCACTAAAATTTTTCAAATCGCCCCAGCTAATATTCAGCTTTCCTAAAATTATATGAACCTTTGAAGTCGCTATGCAACACATGATTATGTTTAGTGGAAGGAAAATGACTCACAGTGACAATCAATGCAGGATGTTGGGGATCCTCACACACTAACGCATCATCAGCATGTTCAACATAGCAAATGGCATTGCTCCAAATTAAATCTAGCAAATTTCCATTTTCATTGTGTATGTAATTATACCGAATGATATTGAAAATTCTTGCTAAAACATAAGTGTTTATGTAACTATTTGAGATACTATTTTCAAGATAATCAGCATATGATGTTATATTAAAGTCCCCAACAATGAAAATACTGCCAGTATGTATAAACTCTAGACTATGTATCGCTTCCAACAAGATTTCGTAGTCGGTAACGGTTACCTGAGGTGGTATGTACAGATTAATCACATATAATTTTCCACCAATCAACTTGCATTAACAACAATAATAATAGCACAACGATTTAACGTAATTTCGGAGCGGCAGATTATCCAAACACGATGTGCACTGCTCGACGTTACAGCTCGCTCTGCCAGGGTCGGCGGCCGATCGTCGTTCCCTCAGCTATCAGAGCAGCTACCACTCTACAGTACCCCTTCGTAACCGGCAGCGGCTCGACAAAATTTTTCGTTTCTTACACCGCCTTCCTGCCGGCTGCGACGTTCTCGACGCCCTCTGCACCACAGGCCGAATCTGCGAATCAAAAGCATATGCAAATCACTCTGTGTACTTGCCACAACTATTATCTCACAAATATGATTCAAATCTGAATCAACCACTACCGGTACTAAGACCAAAATTCACAATTCGATTACAGAATTGTACGTAAATTGAATTGAATAAATATTTAACAGTGACGGCGACGACCGTCTCATTAAAATAACAACTCTCAAACTTCAGTACCAGTAGCTCTACTACTAACAAGACAGATACCAATCTTACAATATCCCTGAAGACCTTAGCCTTCTGCTGGCTCTGATACTGACGAGACAGAGTCCATAATAACAGTATCAATGAAGACATCAGCCTCAGCTGGCTCTACTACTGACGAGACAGAGACCAGGTTGCAGTTTCCGTGGAGATCTCGTCCTCCATTTGGCTCTACTTCTGACGAGATAGAGACCAACATTAAGCAAGACAGCACATCGCAGAATGGAACCAGAAATTTACTGACCTGGTTCGTCGTCTGCCTCCAAAAACTCAAGTATATCTCCCACTTTACAGGCCATGATCTTAGCTGTTCCTGAGCTGCCTTTGTTATGATGGTCGTTCCAACCTTCTTAATCTCACAACGTCCATTTTCCAAGCACTTAACCACTTCATAAGGACCAAGAAACCCATAGTCGCTCGTGCTTATGTGCATCTGAGAGTCCCGGTGCATCAGTACAAAATCACCGACTGAAAATTGCACATTGTCCCTTCTTTTTTTGTTCACAGTGTCGTAATTTTGTGCGACGAACAGCCTTTTCGCTAATCGCTGTCGATCCAAATCTCAGTTGCGCAAAGGAGTTAGATCCTTAGACACATACTTCAACACAGCTTGTATCATCGGGGTCGAGGTTCGGATACCCAAAAGCAGCTGCAAAGGAGTTGCATTTATGGATTTTTGCATAGTCGAATTAAAAACAATTTGGATCTTCCATAGTCCGTTCGGCCATTCTGTCCTTATTTGAGTTTCAACTCTCATAAGATTTCTAATGGTTCGCATATAGCGTTCCACCTGCCCATTTCCCCTATGCATATTTGGAGTTACAAAGCGATATTCGATGCTCCATCGATCCAGGTACTTTGGAAACGTGGTGTTCTTAAATGACGTGGCAGCGTCCATTATTATTCGTTTGGGAGTTCCAAACAGCGCTAGAACATTATGCAACTTTTCACGCGCGTCTGCAGTTGTCACAGACTTCATAGGCGTCAAAATGCAGTACTTGGTAAAATCATCCACCATTACCAAAATGTGCTTATGACTATCAGTTGAAGCTGGTACATGACCCAAACAGTCTATGTGCAACGTATGAAATGGCTCCTTCGGTATGTCCACTGGTCGTATGAACCCCTGTAGAGGACCTGTTCTTGTCTTTCTTTTACTGCACAAATTACACAGTACTTGACGTAGCATTTGACGAAGTTTCTCATCCTCGGAAACTAAAAATGTTGAGCGATAGACTCGTATGTTTTTTCGGGTCCAACGTGACACTGCTCATCATGGAAAATGCGCAGTAGGCCTAAACGACATTGCCTAGGAACGAACCATTCCAAATTTGTCGTACCATCTGCATTTACTTGCTTGTGATAAAGCATTTCATCCTTTTCAGCATACTGGTTTGCATCAAGGTTACCTTCTCTAAGTTGTCGTAGCATGTTCTGAACTTCTTCGTTTCCTTTTTGCTCTATGTATGCCCAACTGTTATGCGACACTCGGAGAATTGTTTGTGCAGGATTTCTGCTCAAACAATCGACATGCGGAAGACTACTTCCTTTTCGGTAGACTATTTCGAAATTAAAGTCTTGAAGGTACAGCCACCAGCGAGCTATTCGGGGTACCACGTATTTCTTAGTGGAGGTTGCCTTGATGGAATTGCAGTCAGTAACGATGGTGAATTTTATCGGAAGCAAATAAGTCCGGAAATGTCTCAAGGCTTGAACTATTGCTAAAGTCTCCAACTCGTAAGAATGGTATTCGGCTTCACAGACAGTCGTACGCTCACTGAAGTAAGCCACTACCTTGGACTGGTTTCCATGTTTCTGAACCAAAATAGCCCCATATCCGATACTGCATGCCTCAGTATGCAGCTCCATCGGAAGTTCCGAGTCATATACAGCAAGCAACGGTCTTGATGTTAGATGATCAATAACATACTTGCATGTACCTTCCTGCTCTTGACCCCAATAAAATTGGACCCCTTGCTTGGTTAGTCGAGTTATGCATGCTGTCCGACTGGCGAATTCAGGCACAAACTTACGGAAATAACCTGCTAGGCCCATAAACTGGCGTATTTGTTTCACTTTCTCTGGTAACGACATTTCTTGATATTCAAGGAAAAACCTGCAGCACTAAGCGCCTCCAGAACTCGTCGCAGATAAGCAAAGCCCTCTTGTGGCGTCTTACTCGGTCAAAATGTGATCAAGGTAAACTAGAACAATTGAGTCTTTCAGGTTTCCTAAGGCTAGGTTTACAGCTCTCTGAAATACAGCTGGTGCATTAGCAAGGCCAAAGGGCATTCGCAAGTATTCAAAATGGCCATCTGATGTTAGAAATGCCGTCTTGTGGATGGATTCCTCGTAAATGAATGAAATGAAATCCCGAAGCCATATCCAAAGACGTGAAGCAGTGTACCCTTTCTAAATGAGCCATCTTTCTTTTCACAAGTAATACGGGACTTGCGAATGGTGACTCACTAGGTCGTATATTTTTATTTTCCAGCAAATCATTTATAATTTGACGAACAGCATCCTTTTCATTGGCGGCTAGTCGGTAAGGAGTATGATAGACGATATTTCGGTATTTCAAGACGAATTTTCAGGCTGACATTATTCACTGCACCAACATTATTGCCTGTTGTGATCATGCCACTAAAATCTTGCAGTATAACTTCAAGACCTACGGGATGTTCTTCAGGTACTTCAACTCCTGTGACTAAAGCACCAAAATCTTCTGAAACGCGATTTATGCCAGGCAGCTGACATCGCACAACGCGTGATCCTTGATGATCTGTTATGGTGGCGAGACGTTCATCTTCAAAAATATTACGCCCCACCAAAACATCATAATCCAGTCACTCGACAGAAACAAAAATAAAACACATCGGAATATCAGCACCAGAAATTTTCGCCTTAATTGTAACGTTAGCTAATCCTTTCAAAATAACATTGCAGCTACCAACCTTATTATCAAATAGGTAGAAGAACTATCAGATATCAATGATAAATCAGCTCCAATATCAACTAGACAGAAAAAATGATAACCATCAATTAATATTTCGGTGGACCCAACTGGTTTTCCACTAGAACAAAAGTTTATGTTGCAATGTTTATCAACAGCAGCTTTGGTAAAGCAATTCGATACGCTGTGACCTTTCTTAGCACAAAAACTACAAATTTCAGAACTATGAGATGTGCTTGGTAAGTCACGCTGACCTATGGAATTGTATCTGTCGTCTGATACCAATTTAGTTTTCTTCACACAATTCTTGTCAACAGATGAATTTTTCCTTTTGAGAGAAGAAGAACCACTTTCGGCTATATTTTGTCTGTCATTGCGCGAAGGCTTAACAAAAGATGACAAGAGAACCAATAATTCATAAATAGTTCTGCAGTTAGCATTCATCGCAGCATTGCGCACCTCTAGTTCAGAGATTCCGTAAACAGTGAGTTCGACCAAATCACTTTCGCACCAATTTGCACGTAAATTTTTATGCATAGATGATTTCTCATGCACATAACTTTTATATGTGCTGACAAAAGAACTGTTAAATTTTGCTGCCTCCAACAAACGACCCAAATTTCTTTTAGGAGGAAACGCCTCAGCAAATTTAACTCGAAAAGTAGCCCAATCCCTATTGTCTGGGTTCCAACGTTCGAACCATCTCTTTGCACCACTCAATAAAAATCGGCCAATCCTTGCCAGAGTTTGAACGTCAGACCATCCGACTTCATGCTTAATGATTTCAATTTGACTTACCCATTTACTGGATTCGTTTATTTCGGGTCTAAAGTCTACCTGTTCGGCCGACCTTTGGGACTGCAAGGCCTTTACCAATTCTGCTACCAGCGACTGGGTGGAGTCTTCGTCTGTTGAAGCCATCGTTAAATTGAGTTTACTTATTATTAACACCAAGACTTGATCCAAACACACAACGTAGTACAGTCTTTTTTCAAAACTATGACGCAGCAATCACAACGATGTACCGTTATCCTTTGTTCTCACAAGACAAAGAAAACGTAAATGTTTTCAAAACAAATCATATGTATATATATATTGTAAGAAACGAAAAATGTTGGCGATATATACAGGGTGACTTTGAAGTTGAGTCATTAATTTTCAGATAATGATTGTAGAAGGAAGATAAACCAAAATATGTGTGTAAAAATAAAAAAAAATTAAAAAAAAATGTTACCCTGTTTTATAAAGTATCCTCCCGACAAGTATTTCAGTGCGGACTTGTATTTGATCGTGCGGTCTTGGAGCACCGGCATGCCCTCCCCTGTGAGGTCTTAAGTCACCTGATTCACGAGCCGTTTCTACTACATTAACAAAGGCACGAGGGGTTGGTTGCACTCGATTGGGAAACCGATCCGCATAAATCCGTGATGCCGCGTAAATAAGAATCATGTCCACAAGTTCAGCATTGTCGTAAACATGTGCCATTTTTGATTTCGTTGGAGCACGCAACAGACACCACTATTCACTCACGCGTTACCGACTGACACTGACTGTATACAACTGAATAAAAGAATTGTAAAAACATCGTTCCAAATTCTTTCGCTTTCTTGTTTCCGATGCGATGAACCGATAAGGCGGATTATATCCGTTGTTGCCAAACACGAGCACATAATATTATTATTGAGACAGGGCGGTACTCAAACTTCCAAGGAGCTATAACTTTGTTACTTTAATTTTACCAGAAAATGGTAAAGGAAAAAACATGTCTTTTGATCAGATCTACTCACTGTTAAAATAAATGACTCAACTTCGAAGTCACCCTGTATATTGTCAGAAACGAAAAATTTTGGCGAGCCGCTGCCGGTCACGAAGAGGTATTGCTTGTGTGGTTGCTGCTCTGATAGCTGAGGGAACGACCATCGGCGGCCAACCCTGGCAGAGCGAGCTGTAACGTCGAGCAGTGCCCATCGTGCTGGATATCTGCCGCTCCGAAATTACGTCTAATTGTTGATGTTAATACAAGTTGATTTTTGGAAAATTAGTGTTTGACTATCCCTGTTTCTAACATCAGAAGTGGGATTGTGCCCAGATGACCACAGTGGATTGTGATTTGTTTTGAAAACATTTACGTTTTCTTAGTCTTGTGAGAACAAAGGATAACGGTACATCGTTGTGATTGCCGCGTCATAGTTTTAAAAAAAGACTGTACTACGTTGTGTGTTTGGATCAAGTCTTGGTGTTCCTGATAAGTAAACTCAATTTAACGATGGCTTCAACAGACGAAGACTTCACCCAGTCGCTGGTAGCAGAATTGGTAAAGGCCTTGCAGTCCCAAAGGTCGGCCGAACAGGTAGACTTTAGACCCGAACTAAACGAATCCAGTAAATGGGTAAGTCAAATTGAAGTCATTAAGCATGAAGTTGGATGGTCTGACGTTCAAAATCTGGCAAGGATTGGCCGATTTTTATTGAATGGTGCAAAGAGATGCTTCGAACGTTGGAACCCAGACAACAGGGATTGGGCTACTTCTCGAGTTGACTTTGCTGAGGCGTTTCCTCCTAAAAGAAATTTGGATCGTTTGTTGGAGGCAGCAAAATTTAACAGTTCTTTTGTCAACACATATGAAGGTTATGTGCATGAGAAATCATCTATACTTAAAAATTTACGTGCAAATTGGTGCGAAAGTCGAACTCATGTTTACGGAATTTCTGAACTAGAGGCGCGCAATGCTGCGATGAATGCTAACTGCAGAACTATTTATGAATTATTGGTTCTCTTGTCACCTTTTGTTAAGCCTTCGCCCAATGACAGACAACATATAGCCGAAAGTGATTCTTCTTCTCTCAAAGGGAAACATTCATCTGTTGAGAAGAATTGTGTGAAGAAAACTAAATTGGTATCCGACGACAAATACAATTCCATAGGTCAGCGTGACTTACCAAGCACATCTCATAGTTCTGAAATTTGTAGTTTTTGTGCTAAGAAAGGTCACAGCGTATCGAATTGTTTTACCAACGCTGTTGTTGATAAACGTTGCAACAAAACTTTTGTTCTAGTGGAAATCCAGGTGGGTCCACCGAAATATTAATTGATGGTTATCATTTTTTCTGTTTAGTTGATACTGGAGCTGATTTATCATTGATATCTGATAAGTTCTTCTACCTATTTAATAATAAGGTTGGTAGCTGCAATGTTATTTTGAAAAGACTAGCTAACGTTACAATTAAGGCTACAAACAAGTATACGGGTTGTGCGAAAATTTCTGGTGCTGATATTCCGATGTGTTTTATTTTTGTTTCTGGCGAGTGACTCGATTATGATGTTTTGGTGGGGCGTAATATTTTTGAATTGTGCATTGTGCGACGTCAGCTGCCTGGCATAAATCGCGTTTCAGAAGATTTTGGTGCTTTAGTCACAGAAGTTGAAGTACCTGAAGAATATCGCGTAGGTCTTGAAGTTATACTGCAAGATTTTAGTGCCATGATCACAACAGGCAATAAAGTTGGTGCAGTGAATAATGTCAGCCTGAAAATTCGTCTTGAAAAGGATATTGTCGTCTATCATACTCCTTACCGACTAGCCGCCAATGAAAAGGATGCTGTTCGTCAAATTATAAATGAGTAAGTTTGTGCCTGAATTCCCCAGTGGGACAGCATGCATAACTCGACTAACCAAGCAAGGGGTCCCATTTTATTGGGGTCAAGAGCAGAAAGATACAAGGAAGTATGTTATTGATCATCTAACATCAAGACCGTTGCTTGCGGTATATGACCCGGAACTTCCAACGGAGCTGCATACTGAGGCAAGCAGTATCGGATATGGGGCTATTTTGGTTCAGAAACATGGAAACCAGTCCAAGGTAGTCGCTTACTTTAGTAAGCGTACGACTGACTGTGAAGCCGAATACCATTCTTACGAGTTGGAGACTTTAGCAATAGTTCAAGCCTTGAGAGATTTCCGGACTTATTTGCTGCCGATAAAATTCACCATCGTTACTTACTGCAATTCCATCAAAGCAACCTCCACTAAGAAATACGTGGTACCCCGAATAGCTCGCTGGTGGGTGTACCTTCAAGACTTTAATTTCGAAATAGTCTACCGAAAAGGAAGTAGTCTTCCGCATGTCGATTGTTTGAGCAGAAATCCTGCACAAACAATTCTCCGAGTGTCGCATAACAGTTGGGCATACATAGAGCAAAAAGGAAACGAAGAAGTTCAAAACATGCTACGACAACTTAGAGAAGGCAACCTTGATGCAAACCAGTATGCTGAAAAGGATGAAATGCTTTATCACAAGCAAGTAAATGCAGATGGTACGACAAATTTGCAATGGTTCGTTCCTAGGCAAAGTCGTTTAGGCCTACTGCGCATTTTCCATGATGAGCAGTGTCACGTTGGACCCGAAAAGACATACGAGTCGATCGCTCAACATTTTTGGTTTCCGAGGATGAGAAACTTTGTCAAATGCTACGTCAAGTTCTGTGTAATTTGTGCAGTAAAAAAAAGACAAGAACAGGTCCTCTACAGGGGTTCATACGACCAGTGGACATACCGAAGGAGCCATTTCATACGTTGCACATGGACTGTTTGGGTCCTTTACCAGCTTCAACTGATAGTTATAAGCACGTTTTGGCAATGGTGGATGATTTTACCAAGTACTGCATTTTGACGCCTATGAAGTCTGTGACAAATGCAGACGCTCGTTAAAAGCTGCATAATGTTCTAGCGCTGTTTGGAACTCCCAAACGAATAATAATTGACGCTGCCACGTCATTTATGAACACCACGTTTCCAAAGTATCTGGATCGATGGGGCATCGAATATCATTTTGTAACTCCAGATCTGCATAGGGGAAATGGGCAGGTGGAACGCTATATGCGAACCATTAGAAATCTTATGAGAGTCGAAATCCAAATAAGGACAGAATGGCCGAACGGACTATGGAAGATCCAACTTGTGTGATTAAGAAGGTTGGAACGACCATCATAACGAAGGAGGCTAAGGAACAGCTAAGATCATGGCCTGTAAAGTGGTCATCCGATGTTGATATGGGAGATATACTTGAGTTTTTGGAGGCTGAGGAAGAACCAGGTCAGTAAATTTCTGGTTCCATTCTGCGATGTGCTGTCTTGCTTAATGTTGGTCTCTATCTCGTCAGAAGTAGAGCCAACTGCAGGCTGCGGTCTTCAGGGGTGTTGTAACATGGTCTCTGTCTCGTCAGTAGCAGAGCCAGCTGAAGGCTGAGGTGTTCAGGGATACTGTTATTATGGTGTCTGTGTCGTCAGTAGCAAAGCCAGCTGAAGGCTGAGGTCTTCAGGGATACTGTTATTTTGGTCTCTGTCTCGTCAGCTGCAGAGCTAGCTGAAGGCTGAGGTCTTCAGGGATACTGTTATTTTGGTCTCTGTCTCGTCAGTAGCAGAGCCAGCTGAAGGCTAAGGTCTTCAGGGATATTGTAAGATTGGTATCTGTCTTGTTAGTAGTAGAGCTACTGGTACTGAAGTTTGAGAGTTGTTATTTTAATGAGACTGTCGTCGCCGTCACTGTTAAATATTTATTCAATTGAATTTACGTGCAATTCTGTAATAGAATTGTGAATTTTGAGCTTAGTACCGGTAGTGGTTGATTCAGATTTGAATCATATTTGTGAGATAATAGTTGTGGCAAGTACACGTAGTGATTTGCATATGCTTTTGATTCGCAGATTCGGCCTGTGCTGCAGAGGGTGTCGAGAACGTCGCAGCCGGCAGGAAGGCGGTGTAAGAAACTAAAAATTTTGTCGAGCCGCTGCCGGTTACGAAGGGGTACTGTTGAGTGGTTGCTGCTCTGATAGCTGAGGGAACGACGATCGGCCGCCGACCCTGGCAGAGCGAGCTGTAACGTCGAGCAGTGCACATCGTGCTCGGATAATCTGCCGCTCCAAAATTACGTTAAATCGTTGTGTTATTATTATTGTTGTTAATGCAAGTTGATTGGTGGAAAATTATATGTGATTAATCTGTACATACCGCCTCAGGTAACCGTTACCGACTACGAAATCTTGTTGGAAGCGATACATAGTCTAGAGTTTATACATACTGGCAGTATTTTCATTGTTGGGACTTTAATATAACATCATATGCTGATTATCTTGAAAATAGTATCTCAAATAGTTACATAAACACTTATGTTTTAGCAAGAATTTTCAATATCATTCGGTATAATTACATACACAATGAAAATGGAAATTTGCTAGATTTAATTTGGAGCATTGCCATTTGCTATGTTGAACATGCTGATAATGCGTTAGTGTGTGAGGATCCCCATCATCCTGCATTGATTGTCACTGTGAGTCATTTTCCTTCCACTAAACATAATAACGTGTTGCATAGCGACTTCAAAGGTTCATATAATTTTAGGAAAGCTGACTTTCAGCTGCTCTATGAAATGATTGTGAATATTAGCTGGGGCGATTTGAAAAATTTTAGTGACGTGGATTTAGCTTGTGAATATTTCTATTTTGAGATCTATAGAATTCTTGATTGTTGTGTTCCTAAAGTTAGAATATCTTATAATAATAGGTATCCTCCTTGGTACAACAGCCATATCATTAGAACCCTCAAAGAAAAAATGGTGGCATTCAAGACTTTCAGACGCCCTGGTGATACTTATTATATAGAAAAATTTGAAAGACTTCGCTCAGAGATAAAGCAGCATGTAGCTGTTTCATATCGTCGCTACATTCACTCTTTAAAGAGTGAAATATCCAACAGCTCCGGCCAATTCTGGTGTTTTGTTAATAGAAAAAGAAACTGCACTGGTATTCCGAAGGATATGCTGTTCAATTGAATACACCTAATGATGTAGTTGGCGCATTTGCGGAACACTTTAGTGGGAGCTATAATACTCCAACAACTCAATCTGATTCTTCTACTGACTAACATTTCACTACTACACTAGCTATGCCTAGCGTGCAGGAAATCGATGTGCTACAGGCGCTCAAGAAAATTAAGCCAAAAATGACTGCAGGGCCTGATCAAATACCTGCATTTTTTGTGAGAGATTGTGCGTCCATTTTAGCATATCCACTCATGATCATTTTCAATCTCTCTCTGAAAAATAATCACTTTCCATCTATTTGGAAGTTGTCTAGGGTAACTGCTGTTTTTAAAAAAGGTGAGAGGAATAAAGTAGAAAACTATCGGGCTATCACAATTATCAGTAATTTCGCTAAAACATTCGAAATAGTGATACAAACTGTGCTATATTTCCATGTAAGCAGGTCTATCTCCATCAGTCAACACGGTTTCATGAAGGGCAGGTCCACAGTTACTAATTTTCTACATCTTACTCAATATGTTTGTGAATCAATCGATAGACAACCAAACGGATGTAATATATACTGATTTCTCTAAAGCGTTTGATAGTTTAGATCATAACATCCTACTCAATAAGTTATCCAGATTTGGTCTTTCAGATGCATTGTTGCTATTTTTCAGATCTTAGTTATTTCATAGGAAACAGTATGTTATGTGCAATGGACATAAGTCAAGCGAATACCCTGTAATTAACGGTGTTCCTCAAGGATCTAATTTGAGACCTCTGTTATTTATTGTGTTCTTAAATTATATTTCTGAAGTTATCGGTGTCGATTTTCTTATATATGCTGACGATATGACACTTTTCTGTAGAGTCAGTTCTATTTTGAGGTTTTTTTACAACGTTTTAGCTTTCTCTACATACATCCACTACATGCATTTGTTTATATTTTCATGTATATCCATCCTGTAATTGGCTATGGCTGTTGGATGTAGCTAAATAAATAAATAGGTAAATAAATTAGTGTTTGACTATCCCTGTTTCTAACAATATATAAAGTGTAACTATAGTGGCGAAGTTTACCAATATGCTACTCTAACACTTAACCACTAAAGTTAAATATTACGTTGTTAACAGTTAACACAAACAAAACGCAAAATATAAGTTATGTCCATGCTCACCCTGTACATTATATAAAATTATAATTTACTTAGTAGGCACTTGATTTCTCACGAGCAATGACGCGGCGCTCAAGAATGTTATCTCGCGCCTTGCTAGTTCTCATGTTAACATCGTTTTCTTTATCATATCATATTTCTTGTATACCATGCTAGATTCATATGTTAGGAAATCTCGTCTCTTTTGGTTTGACCGTCTTGTTTTACGTACCTATGTGACAAGGTTTCTCTAGAAGTCACTCTGTACCGATTTTGGAAATAAAGTTTTTTTTTTAAAACATCAATCTCGGTATCAGTAATTTAATTGGGGGCTCAACCGGGATCCCTCAGCGTGTCGCGAAATGTGAAACGTGTTCCTTCGGCGTCCGAATTCGAGGCAATCGAGCAGATTATCGGCAAGCCGAAATCACCAGTTAAACGAAAAGGCACGCGAACTTTCAATGTTCTTGGAGGGATCCTAGCCAGTAATAAGCAACCGAGTGAAGGTACTGAGGACCATTAGCACTGGGCCACGGCCTGAAGTTCCAGAACTCCCAAAAAGTTAGTAGTAAGTCCGGCACTACTAGGAGGGTGTGCAGCAACTGTAGCAGTACAGCCAGTCTACTGTAGAAGCTAGTGGAGCCGAAACAGAGAAAAAGAAGAAGACAGAAAACCGCGCCTTTCATGGATTTTCAGTGTGTGATCTTGTTACTGACAACTCTATGGTCGCAGAGTCTACAGCTGAGGCTTCATCAAGTTCCAACTAATAATGGTTTCTATTCGGAACCAATAGGTGATGCGAAACTGATAAGCCATTATCATACGTTTATTTTTAGTCATAATCTCAGCTTAATAGCTGATGTTATTAATAAGGTAGAAGTTAGTTATAGAGCCTTAATAAACTATTCTGACGATACAAATCTTAAACCGGTACTAGAGGACTTGTATAAAAATATCATTAACGTAAAAGCAGAATATTCAAAATTATCGCCTTACCATTCATATAGTAGGAAACGTCGAGCTATTATTAACGGATTGGGAAGCATTATAAGGTATGTGACGGGTAACTTAGATCAGGACGATCTTACAGAAATCAACGATAAATTTATATCATTAAGAGACAAAGAGAACGAACTCATAGTGGCTATTAACAATCAAAAAGCATTCGCTCAGCTCATTTCACAAAAAATTGAGAGAAACATGAAACTCATTCAAAATAATGTACAATCGCTATCAGAAACTGTCAAGAAAGCAATTTATGAATACGAGTATGAAACTTTAATTTTTAGACTACTTATTTCTCTACGAGAAATCTCTGATTACCTCGGACTGATCCAAAGCACAATATCCCTATCACAGAAACATATGACCAATGTAGCTAATTTTAATGTTAAGGAACTGATTCATATTGAAGAATATCTCAAATCTGTTTATTCTAAGAAAAATTTGGTTCTCTTAGATGAAACTCATCCTTTCGAAGTACTTAGCCTGAGTAGAAGTAGTATTATTTATACAGATGAAATAATTTTATGCGCAGTCGAGTTACCTATCTTGGAATCTACCAAATATAAATTATCAAAGTTATATCCCTTGTTAAACAGTAACACCATGTTAGTACTATTCCAACATGAATATTTTTTGTATAACGATGTATCGATTAAAAGTTGTCCTAAGCAATGTAAAAGATCCATGAATCGATTTATTTGTGAAACTTCGACTAATCAAAAATGTACGCCTCGATCAATTGATCAATGTAGCATTGTACAGGCTAAAAACTTTTTAATCTTAACATATTTGCTCGAGAGTGATGAGGCAGTATTATTTTCTAGCAACATCAGAATCACTGTTTTCGAAAAATGCGATGGCGAAATCAAGCCTTTTAATCTAATTGGTAATTATATTTTAAGTAGTAACTGCACACTGGTTATAAATGATGTATCATATGTTCTTCATAGCACTGTTATTCCAACAGAGCCCTTGGATTTCAATATTTCTGACTTTACATTAAAGCCAACACACACGATAGATACTTTCCATATTACTAGTAACGATTTTTCTGATATCAAGGAAAATTTAGATAAAATGAAAGAGGTTGCACCAGTTAAGTTTAACAACTATCATTCTCATGTCAATAGTTCTCTTATAATAGGGATAGTCGTTACGATATTAATTATACTTGTATTAAAATCACGTTTGTGTAAAAGGCAAAAATTATCTCAAAAGAAAAATGAAGTTGAGTCTGATAAGAACGAGGACGTTCTAAGAGTTTAAGGAGGGAGGAGTTATGTCCATGCTCACCCTGTACATTATATAAAATTATAATTTACTTAGTAGGCACTTGATTTCTCACGAGCAATGACGCGGCGCTCAAGAATGTTATCTCGCGCCTTGCTAGTTCTCATGTTAACATCGTTTTCTTTATCATATCATATTTCTTGTATACCATGCTAGATTCATATGTTAGGAAATCTCGTCACTTTTGGTTTGACCGTCTTGTTTTACGTACCTACGTGACAAGGTTTCTCTAGAAGTCACTCTGTACCGATTTTGGAAATAAAGTTTTTTTTTTAAAACATCAATCTCGGTATCAGTAATTTAACTTTTATATAACAAATCACTTACTACACATAAGAGAAGTGAAAAAAGAGATATTTTGTGTGCACATACTGCTACTCTAAAAAGATGTATGAAATATTGAGGAAAAAGTTAATCGTTCAAATAACTCAACATTGTGGCGTAAACATTCATCATGGTCTTAAATTTACTGTCCAAATAATTATATATTGCTGAAACGTTACATGAGAAACTTCGTTGGAACAGAGATGTTGTATGCTTCGGAATTCTGATAACGTGCTTGTCTCTAATAGTTCTATCGTGAAATTATTTTTTCACATAGGTATTCTGGCTTAAAATTAATTAAAATTTCATGGATAAATGTGGAAAAATGTAAAACTTGACCAACTGGTCAAACTTTAGCCATCTCAACTCTGCATATTTGTGAGAGACATGGTCGAACTTTCTCATGCCGAATATAAAGCGAACACAGCTGTTTTGAATTAATTGGATTCTGTGTTTAGTGATCTGAACCAAACAGGGAAAATATAGAATACTGCGGTAGTTCAAGACAGGCACCTTTTGAAGTTTAGCAGATATCTGTTTGAATAAAGACTGCGTAAACGTGCATAGGTCTGTCTGCCTGTCCGCTAATCTTTGAACTGCCTATAACTTGGAAAGTACTGCTCTGATTTGGATGAAATTTTCACACAGGGTTACTACTACGCCAAGGTCGAAAAAGCTTTGATTTTGAAAATCGATCCGTTGGCGGCGGAGCTAGGGGCGAAAAAACAAAAAAAAATCAATGAAAATTTCGTTTCTTGGTGTTTCGGAGGCTCCTGATCATTTTCAAACAAATTTTTGCAGGGGTTAAAAATTTTGTTTGGTGTTGTAATCGGTAGGGGAGGGTATATGTCAATTTTTTGATGCTAGCAATTTATTCGTTTCAACTTAGGTAAATCTACATATTCGGTACTGTCGGTCGAGCGGTAGGCTAGATCGCATTGTTGGACTATGGACTGATTATATGATTCACTAAGCTCCTTTGATATAAATATTCGTAGCGATTTGTTTTCTAAGAAGGAATGACTTCTTGCGCCGAATACAATCCCTTATGAATTGGTGACATCGTTGCTTAGGAAGTGCGGTTTAACATACTTCATGCCATATTTTACTTAAAATGGGGACAAACCTGTATAAAAATTAATGTAAAATCCAAATCTTGAAGAAAAACCATTCTCTGACTTTGACACCATGTAGTATGCAAGAATAAAGTATATTTACCGTGCCAAAAATAGTCCAAAAAGCTACTGTGATCAGTCAGCATAGCATTCGAAGCAACGTTAAAGTTTAGCGGATTCGAGTCCAGCGCTATTGGAGTGCATGTACGTAACGTGGATATCGATTGGACTGTACGGGTATGGTGTACCCGGTTACAATCACATTAAAACCAAATGAGTTAATCAAATGCTGCCTGATTGCCTTACTTAGGTTGGCATTATTTTCAATTATTTATTTATACGTTGAGGTAGGTGTAAATTAGGAAAAAAACATTTGCTGTGACATAATAATAATCCGGCACAACACACAACATTCGGCCAGTCCACTTCATTCACAAACATTTAACGTTCATAAAGGTGGATCTGGTGCAGCGGCCCTATTTCATTGCCACCAAGAACCTTGGACCTGAATCCACAATTTTTTTTATTGGGGTTGTTTCAGGGACTTTGTATATCGAATTTGAACCATTTGAACATGCTAGCCATTATTCGTGCAGGAAATTTAGGAGGTGCTTGTAACATTTATAAATTTAATATTGATTATCTATCAACAAGGGTTCTGTCTTTTTTTTTGTGTCGAAGTCATAAAATAAAATTTTTTGATATTCGGGGAAACTGTCCTTCCTCCTTTATAACTGTAATTAAAAAAAATAAGCAGCAGAATGTGAATATTAATACCATTTTAAAATTGCTGATAACCACCTAACTTTTTCTACTAATTGGCACAGGGATCATACTTGATTCTCTCACACTACATGGTACCATTAACCATTTGAAAATTGCCAATAACCAGCAAACTTTTTTGACTAATTGACACAGTGATCATATTTGATTCCCTCACACTACATGGTGTCATAGTGGCTTTCATTAAAATTTAGGGTTTACTATTATTTTTATGTGGGTTTCTCGCCATTTTAAAGACACTTGGTGGGATGGGAGACTTAACTATGAAAAGGCACGGGGTTAACTCAATGCAAGAAAGTATGAAAAAATAAATACGTGCTGGAAGTCTCTAAAACTATAAGACTCTTACTAAAACCAAAGTTTGTCATATCGCTCACAACATGCAGTTGCAGGATTATTCTTCAGTTTCTCAACACACTGTTTATAGTGTATTATAACATAGTAACTTTTCAGTAACTGTACATTTTTAGTTTAAAAGTGAGGAAAAAATGTAACTATAGCAGCTCTGAAAGATTTTTATTTGGTTAATGATCTTTCTTTTTATTTTACCTTTCGCTATGCCCTTGTTTTTTAGTCGGATTTTTTTAAAACAAGGTTATTCGTTTAGCACTACATCTGTCGAGGGTTATTTTCATTTTTTCTATTTTATTGTCCAATATAATTTTCATTATGATTATGCTATATGGAATCGATAAGTTCCTCACTGACATCATCAATATGATGCAGTGTCGTCTGACAAGTTAACACTACCTAGAAATCA